TGTGGGGTTTGTTTCATGATCCCCATAAGAGCATGAGTGTCTTTTGTTTGTTTGTTTGTTTTGTTTTGTTTTTCGAGACTGGGTTTCTCTGTGTGTAGCCCTGGCTGTCCTGGAACTCACTCTGTAGACCAGGCTGGCCTCAAACTCAGAAATCCGCCTGCCTCTGCCTCCCAAGTGCTGGGATTAAAGGCGTGCGCCATCACTGCCCGGCTTAGCATGCGTGTCTTATTTCTTTTGTGTATACAACATCTTCCTACCCTCCCCCCCCACACATATACCCAACATAGAAAGACGTATATAGTAGCTATTTCAATAAGTACTATTCAACTGAAATCATATTGAGCTCTCTGGGGACGTAAAATTTAGTACAACTAAGGGGAAAAAGGTACTTCTGGTCCCCAGAGTGAGTCACCATCTGTAGCCGTGGCTCCACAGAACCAAAGGTGAGAGATAATTGTTCACTGTTGTACTATCTGAGCTTAACCGGTCTGTTGTTACATTGTAGACTCAGTAATAAAAAGGTTGGAATCCAAACCCAAAGATAGCCAGCTTACAACCATCTAAACCATGTTACAGTAAGAGTTACACAGAGGGCTGGAGAGACGGCTCAGTAGTTAGAGCACTGGCTGCTCTTCCAGAGGTCATGAGTTCAGTTCCTAAGCTTCCATGTCTGGTGGCTCACAACCTCCTGTAACTCCAGCTAGGGGGATCCAACACTCCTTTCTAGCCTCTGGAGGCACCCACATGCACGGGATAATCATTCCCCACTCCCCCATATACACGTGCAAGCACTCACATGTGCTCACACACATAAATAAAAAGAAGTGTTAAAAAAGAAGTGTGCACTGCTCTTGCAGGGTCCCGAGTTCTGAATCCCATTTCCAGTTCCCATGACGAGTAGTGCCTCCTGCCACCTGTTCACGCCGGCTCCGGCGGCTCTGCTATCCTGTTCTAGCCCCTCAGGTACCCACACTCGTTATATATACACCTACAAGCACAGACATACACATAAATGTGTAATTAAAAATAAAGCTTTAAAAAAAGGTTCAGAGAATTAATGAGTAAAGCGTTCCTTAGTAGATCCTCTTAGAATAGTTCCGGCTGGTCCTATTGGAATAATCAGTGTACGGGCGGTGGTGGCGCACGCCTTTCATCCCAGCACTTGGGAGGCAGAGGCAGGTGGATTTCTGAGTTTGAGAGTTCGAGGCTAGCCTGGTCTACAGAGTGAGTTCCAGGACAGTCGGGGCTATACAGAGAAACCCTGTCTCGTAAAACAAAAACAAAAAAATGAATAATCAGTGTGCCCCCAGCGGTGCTGGCAAATGCCTTTAATCCCAGCACTCAGGAAGCAGAAGCAGGTGGATCTCTGAGGTGGAGGCCAGCCTGGTCTACAGAGAGGGTTACACAGAGAAACCTTGTCTTAAAAAAAACAAGCCAATAATAATAATAATAACAACAACAACAATAAAATTGTGGTTAATATACAGTCTTTTATTTCCAGAAGCATCAAGCCCTGGCCTTAGCACTAAGTTATGTCTTGTATTAGTTGCAGGGTGTGTAGTACTTGAGGGTAAAGTATTCTCTGGGCCAATGAAATGTTCTTCCTAACGGAGGGATGAACAGGGAAAGCCAGACTGAGGCTCAGCATGCGGGTGACCCAGGGAAAGAGAGAAGCAGAGAGGCACTAGGATCACATGTTTGGGGCCAGCTTGGTCTACATATCAGGTGCCAGGCTAGCCAGGTCTGCATAGGAAAGGGTCTATCTCAGACTAGGGAAAAGTCAGACTTGTCTAAGAGCCCTGCACTGCATTTTCTGTCTTGCCTCTTTGTTTTTAGGAGTTTGTTTTCTGAGGCTAGAGCCTCACCTCCATGTAGACCAGGTTGGCCTGGAACTGGCTGTGTAGACCAGGCTGGTCTCCAACTCAGATCTGTCTGCCTCTGCTTCCCAAATGTTGGAATTAAAGGCGGTTTCCCCCCTTTGTTTTCGATGTTTGCTTGTGATAGTCTTCCTGTCTGACTCATCCTGCTGTCACTGTCTCTGCCTCTGTCTCCTAACTGCCAGATCTCCAGGCGTGTCCAAGCCCACCCCACTCTTAACTTTCAGCCAGGATCTTTCTGTGTTTCCCAGGCTGGCTTTAAACCCGAGGTCTTCCCACTTCAGCTGTCGAGTGTCTGTTTCTCCTTTAACTTCTAGAGCGAGGCTTGGAATCCCAGGGACAAGGAATAACCATGTCTGATGGCAGAGGACCAAGGAGATGGAGCAGTTTCCACCGCAGGCCCGGATTTGACAGTCAGTTCTCGGGGGCACCCTTACAGTGCAGCTGTTCTTTTGACCAGTGGAAGGTGTAGCCAATGAAGGCCATCACAGTGGGGGATGCTGGGAATTACAGAACTGCCTTTATCAAAGAAAACTTCGAGTACAGTAAACCCCACGAATCTTTAATGACCAGTGAGCGTACTGACTTTTCACAAAAAATATATGCTCATGTAACCAAACAACATAGGTTTTATATGTTTCGTATTTTTGCAGTGTGAGGATTGAACCCAGGGCCTTATATATATGGAGGTCCAATGTTTGGTCTGCACGAAGCTACATGCCCAGCCTTTTGTACTTCCGTTTTATTTTAGACACTTTCATGTAGCTCAGTTGGCCTTGAACTCTTGATTTTCCTCTTCCTAGGTATTAAGATTGCTGACAGGTGCCACCGCCCCTGCCGTGACTATTTTTATCACCCTGGGATGTGCTGCTGCTTCTTTTTGGCTTGCTTTTTGTTTTTTGAGACAGGATCTTTCCATGTAGCCTTGGCTGTCCTAGAACTTGCTATGTAGATCAAGCTGGCCTCGAACTCACAGAGCTCCACAGAGTTCCACTTCCCTAAGACTCCATAGTGCTGGGATTGGCTGGGATTGTTCTTTCTTCCTTCCTTCCTTTTTTTTTTTTTTAAAGGATTTATTTATTTTATGTATATGAGTGCTCTATCTGCATGTACACTTGAATACAAGAAGAGGGCATCAGATCTCATCACAGATGATTGTGAGCCACCATGTGGTTGCTGGGAATTGAACTCAGGACCTCTAGAAGAGCAGCCAGTGCTCTTAACCGCTGGGATGGTTCTAAAGGTGTGCCACCATGCCGGGGGTTTGGAGGGAGCACGTCTCCTCAGTTCCTTTCACTACTGGCCATCCGCAGCCCACACAGACTGGAATATGGGATTTCTGTGTTTAGATCCCTGCTCTGGAGTTTCACGTAAATGCAGTTACCTGGGGTGTGCTTACCTGTCTATTGCTGTCAAGGTTTTGGTTTTGCCAGCTGTTTGTTGAATAGCTCCCTCACTGCGTGCTTGCTCGCTCCCTCTCTCTCTCTCTCTCTCTCTCTCTCTCTCTCTCTCTCTCCTTCCCTCTCCCTCCCTCCCTCTCTCCCTCCCTCCCTCCTCCTTATTTCCCTGCCTCCCTTCCTCCCTCCTTCTATACTTCTATACACACACACACACTCCATCTTCCTCAGTTTATCTATAAGTGCACTGGGCTTTTCCAGCTCTGGGAAAGTGGTTCACTGGCTCCATTAACTTGAAACTTACTCCATCATCTGACATTTCTAAGTAAAAAAGATTTAGAACATAAAAGGAGCAGCAAATTAAATGCCAGTTCCCCCATTTGTACTCCTGATGGAGCCCTAATGACTGTAGGATATCCCCTTCCTGCCACATGGGGCCCAGAGTAGATAATAGAGGGTCTGCGTAGAGAGGACCTGGGAGACAGAAGGCTGTGCCCTTCATCCCCCAGTCCATTAAGCCATGACTTAGGTTTTCTCTGTAAATCCTGAATGCATTAGTGGCGACTGGGTGGAGGGTCAAATGTCAAACACTCTGCTGTGGTGGGGGAGGACATCTGTGGCTAATTAGACCACTAATTGACCAAACAAGATGGGGAAGTGCAGGAGCCACGCTCAGCGCTGCACCGATGGGGAGCCAGCTCCCTTGTCTAGGCCTTGTGCGTGCCCTCGTGTGCTTGTGTGTGTGTGTGTCCACGTGTGCGTGTGTTTCCACTAGGGCAAGGCATCTCCCCCCAATTCAGCATAAGCAGGCTGTTGCATGGTGAACTGGTCTTGCTTTCCTCATGGGGGTCAAAATGAACCAGGGCCCAGATGTTTAACTCCTCTTCTCATTATATTTTGTCTGTCTGTCTGTCTATTTTGAGTCTTGGCCTTATTATGTAGCCTTGGCTGGAATGGAGCTCTGTAGATCATGTTGGTCTTGAACTCACAGAGATCCTGCCTGTATCTGACTGTAGAGTGTGGAGATTAAAGGCATGCAAAGCCATACCCCGTGACTTCACATTTAATCCTTCAGAAATACAAGTTACACCCACTCAGGTCCACCCAGCTTTTTTCTTGTCATGAGCTAATTTCTTGAATGACCCTCAATTTAAGATAACCAAAGGCGTCACATAGTATGCACCGAGGTTGTAGGACATTTATCCGTTAATGCATTTATTACAGTTGACAAATATTTTTTGAGTAACTGTCGTGTACAAGGGTGCCGTCTTGGAGTCCCCACAGGTCAAGTAGGTGATCTTCACTAACACAGTCAATAGGACGACCTGGCATGTGCAAAGTTCTGGATTTGATTCCCAGCATCGGAAAGAAAAGAAAGATCAGCCATACGGCATTGCCTAGCTGAAGTCCAGCAGGCCCACGAGGTTTATCTGCATTAACTGAAATATGTGGTAGGCCTGAGGAAGACGGCAAGCCTCAGGGAACGGGTGTCTTTTGAACTCTTCCTTATCGGGAAGAGGAGACTTGAACAGGTGGAGGTGAGTCTGAGAAGAGCAGAAGCAGACAGGGAGAGAATCCGGATGGGGTGTGTTCCATGCTGACGTTCTGTCTCTGAGGCGGGGCTTCCATGCTGACGTTCGTCTCTGAGGCGGGGCCTCCAGGCTGACGTTCTGTCTCTGAGGCGGGACCTCCTGGCTGAGACCCTCACTTTACCCTTGCTTTGCAGATCAATGAGCTGAGCAATGTCCCTGTCCCTGTCATGCTAATGCCAGATGACTTCAAAGCTTATAGCAAGATCAAGGTGGACAATCATCTCTTCAATAAGTAAGTGGTCTCCTGGGGGAGGGGCTTAGGTTTTGTGGACAATCCTTTGCTTCCTTAAAGCTCCCGACATTGAGTCACAAGTACACCTGTTGGCAGAGTTGACCAACGGATCTGGAAGATGCATTTAAAAAATGTGACTTCCCCATGCCCGGCTCCCTTCTGTATCGCCTACCTTCAGTGTCCCTTGGGGCGTGTGGCCGGGCACCCCAGGTCATTCACCCAGGACCAGCTCCAGAGAAGTGAGATGCTGGGAGCTGAGGTGTACTGTGCTGCGCCAGGGGCCCTGTCTTCATCTCAGTTACGGAGCTTGTTCCTGGTCTGGATGTAGCCAAGTCCTTTGTTCTCCCACCCATGTGGGATAAGATCAACCTCAGGCGGGGCCTGGTACTCAGCACCATTACCCAGAGTAACTCTTCTCACTGGTGACTTTGCGGCTTTTTGGACGTCAGACCAGTATCTAGAAGTTGTCTTGACATCTTTGGAAACCTTCCAGTGGTCCTCTCTTCCCCATTGAGGACCTATGCTAAGCCATTTTTTTGTTTGTTTGTTGAAACAAGATTTGTCTATGTAGGATGTCATGGGGCTCACTATGTAGACCAGGCTGGCCTCAAATTTCAGGCTCAAATTTCGAATTTTGCCTCTGCCCCATTAGCTTAGGGATTACAGGTATATGGCTGGGATTCAGAGTGGCCTGAATCCTACTGTGTGGACAAGGTTGGCCTCAAACTTTTGGCAGGCCTCCTGCCTCAACCTCCTGAATGCTAGGATTATAAATGTGACATGCTACACCTGCCTTCTGAGCCTTTTCTTGTTTTTGCTGCCATTGCTACTTTGAGACGGAATCTCATATAGTCCAGGTTGGATCTCAGTTTGGTGCTTTGACCTTTTGACAGCCCGCTTGCCTCCACGTCGGATGCTGGAGTCCCAGGCCCGCACCCACTCTTGGCTTCTAAGCCTTTCTGGCAGCCTGAATTTACTCTTCACCACGGGCCACACCAGAAGCCTTTTGGCATTCCCACCACGCTCCACCACGCATGCTCCTCCCAGGCCTCGCTGTCCATTGTCCTTCCTCACCAGCTGGGTGGGCAGTCACCCTGCCATTTTCAGACTTTGAGCCCAGAGGAAAAGCTTGACTTTAGAGCATCTCCTAGTGGCCTTTCTCTGCCGGACTAGGTAGGGACATCTTGTTCTAGAAGCCATCTGTGTTCTGAACAACCACTTCCCAAGTGTCCTCTCAAGGAATGGCAGCAGGTCCTGTTTCAACAAACAAACAAAAATTGGGTTAGCTTAGGTCTTCAATGGTGCTAGGTAAGAGATGAACACTGGGAGGTCTCCAGAGATGTCAAGACAACTTCTAGACATCGGTCTGATGTCCAAAAAGCCGCAAGATCAACAGTGCAAACTTTGGGTAGTGACGTTGAACACCAAGCTCTGCCTGCGGGCATTGCTATTTGAGAGGTTAGGGCTCCAGGGGCAGACATGCCTCTCACCAGGGTTTCCCATCCCACGAGCATCTTGATCTAGAGCAGAACACCCGAGCTCGTGACTGTCTTTCATCTTTGCTCCCGTTCATTTCGGTAGTTCCAGGGGTAGTGTGCAGCAGACAACAGTGCAGTTCTAGGAACGTGTAGGGAGGCTGCAGGAGGGGCCTTTTACTTTGATTTTTGGGAAGTCTAGCATTGTGGTATAGCCAGAGGGCCTCAGTTCGGAAGGGAGTCCCTAGGCAGACTTACCATAAAGGAGGAGACGGGGAAGGACCTCATTTCTAGATAGCTTTCTCTCTGTCTAGGAGTCTGGGCTTGACAAAGGAGTAGCATGCCTTTATAAAGCCATGATTCAAGGGCTGCCATGTAACTGGGTGGGAGAACCGAAGTTCTTGCCTTGCGTGGGGGGAATGGGGAACCCCTGGGCTTGATCCCTAGGACTCCAAGAAGCACAAACAAACTCAAAAAACACATTCCTAGTCAGCTGACTCAAGCCTTCTTCAGTACAAACCAAGTGTGTTTGTCTGGGGTGTATGTCTCAGGCTGTTCTGGAACTCAGTAGGTAGTTCAGGTTGGCCTTGAACTCTCAGCACTTCTACTTTAGTTCCCTGAGTGCTGCTGGAATTACAGGTGAACACTTGGGCCAAGCCACCTTTACCTTTGGACACCCGGGCAGGGCTCCTTGGACGTAGCTATCCTCAGGATAGTTCCATGGCAGTATCCCAGAGAAGAATGGCCTTTCAGTGAAAAAGAGCTTTCTAGACACTGTCGTCCCAGCATATTGTGAGCAGGTGCGTATACTGGGTCTCACTTCCCAGGAGATACACTTTTCTTTTTAAGTTTAAGGACAGCATACAAGCAAACAAACAAAGACATATGAATTACAGTGTACCATTAGACGAATTCCTTCAGAGATGAGGTGTAAAGTTCTACCTGCCTAGAATCGCCTACAGTGTTTGTTGGAACTGCAGATTTTTGCCAGATGTGGTGGCATGTGCTTTTAATGCCAGCCCTTGGGAGGCAGAGGTGGTCAGATCTCTATGAGTTTGAGGCCAGCCTGGTCTACAGAGTGAGATCTCAAAAACAAACAAAAACAAACAATGAATGCAGATTTTGAGACTCACTCCCAGAATTTCTCCAGGCCATGCTTTGAAGGGCTCTGATGTCGCTCCAGCTGCATAAGGCTGGTTCACAAAGCCTGTGTCTGCTTTCTCCAGGGAAAACCTCCCCAGCCGCTTCAAGTTCAAGGAGTACTGCCCCATGGTGTTCCGAAACCTCAGGGAGAGGTTTGGCATTGATGACCAGGATTACCAGGTATGGAGCTGTCTTGGCACAGCAGGAGGATTCAGGGATGAGGGGGTCAGGAAGCCACAAGACAGGCAGTGGGCAGAGTGTCAGCTGTCCCTGGGCTACTGCATCTCCCTGTCCAACCTCACCCCTAGTGCCAGCAGACCAGGACTGGCAAGCCTTTGGGAGCCTCAGAGGATGGAAGATGCTCCTGCCCTGGGGAGGGTGAGGGAGGGAAATGGGAGAGAGCTGTGTGTGAGAATTTCGTCTGACATTCCCGGACTAGGCTGAGAAGCCCTCTCCTTGGTAGTTTGACTGAGGCCTGTTAAAAGCAGGTAAGACAGATTAGGCAAAGAAAAGCATCAAGGGTGACATAGCCTACGTCATTTTACTACCAAGTGTGAGCTTCTCCTCCTGAACATGCCCGTATCCTCATGGTAGGCGGGGCAGGAAGAGGGTAGGCATGGTGGGGCAGGCGACTGCTGCCTTCAGAGATGATCCTGTCCCAGAAGCCATTGGCCTATCATGAGTGTCGGTCAGGGCAGCAATCTGACTCAGCATCCACGCTCTGTGCGGCTCTGTGCCGTCTCTACTTCGCACTTAGAGCCGTCTTTCCTAGCACACAGCCTGTAGGGAAGGAGGAGGAGATGTTCTTTGCCCTTAAGCAGTGGGACCAGAGCTTTACTCTTTCAGTCACCTGTGCGGGTACCACAGGTACCACAGCGGGATCAAGGACAAATGCCTAACCCCAGAAGGCACTGTTGTGAACCTGCCAGAGTTCCTGGGAGTGGGATGGGTCTGGAGACCAGAGCTTTCTCTTCCCCTCCCCCACTCTGGAGGACATGCAGGCAGCTATAAGTGTCCTGAGGAAGGAGGAGAACAGATGCCAGGCCTGCGCCTGAGGGAAGGTCTGTGGCTGAGAAGTCCTGAGGTCCCTCCAGCTCCTCTGCTGAGACCAAACCCTGAACCCAGTCCTAACCTGAATGGAGTCTGCTTTTCTGAAAATATCTTCTGCCAACCTCTAGTTGCTTGGCTCTGTTCCTTCCACTGTGGTTTGTCCCCTGTCCCTGGGCTGTGTCACCACATCCTCTCTGTGTCTGCATCGTGCCTCTAATAGCCTTTTGGGCATATGACTGTGTTCAAGGCTGAAATGAGGGCAGCAAGGCTGCTCTTCTAGGAGCAGACTCTTAGCTCTTGCGTTCCCAGTGCTTGTGAGTCCTAGATGCTGCTGCACACAAGGCCCCAGGACTGTGTATCTCCACTTGGCTACTGTTACAGGGCCAGGCAGAAGAGAGGACAACTGGTTGACATGGCTTACTCACCTTTTTTGGGCTGGGGACTCATAGGGCATGCTTCTATAATTTACCACCCTTACTACGGAATGTCAGCACTCCCGATATTGCTGCCCCTATGAAGACAGTGCTGGTCCTCCATAGGCTGCCGTTGTCGATTTGTCCTTTGAGTTTATTATTGAGCGCTAACTGTCCAGGAACCTGCTATGTTGACCAGGCTAGCCTTGAATTCACAGAGATCCACAAGGCTCTACCTCCTGAGTACTGAGATTCAAGATGTGTGTCATCAAACCTGGCCTTTTTATTTAAGATTCATTTTATTTTTAATTACGGGTGTGTCTGTGTGTGGGTATGTGTGAGCAAGCGCCATGGTGCTCAGAGCTATTGGATTCCCCTGGAGTAGGAGTTACAGTTAAGTGCTGGCAATAGATGTTTCAGGGTCCCTGTGGCCCCTCCAGAGGGTTTTGTGAGGTTGTGTTAAGTGATCTAGAAGGACTTCAAGAGATTGGGAAAGGTTGGGATAGGAACCTCGCTGTGAGCAGATCCCAACAGGGCAGCAGGGATCGCCCCTGCGTCTTACCTCCTGAAGTCCCCGTGCCCTTGTCTATGTACGTGTCCCACCCTCTTTGGACTTCTCTGTCTGAGCATAATTGGGGTCAGAGGACCAGAGGATAGAAGCACAGGCTCCTCGCATTGCCTTCTGACATGCTCAGATGAGGGAGGCACTGGCAAGAGGGGTGACGTCATCCTTTCAAGAGATGGGATCAATACTTAGAAAAGAGGCATACATACCCATGGCTCCCTGAGGTGGGCCTTTTGAATCTTTCCTAAGCTTCGATACCCAAGAGACTCAGCGGTCCTCTTGGTCTGTCTCCCTGTGTTCCAAGTGGGGAAACTTAAACAGCTCCCTTGAAGCCATATTGCTTGTGAGGGTGGAGATTAGAACTTGTTCACCTTACACTGAGGCAGTTCTAGTTTTCTGAGCAGATCTCTGAGTGAATGGATGTGACACATAACAAATACAGAGCCTAGTCTGAGGTCAAAGGTAGGAGCAACTCTGATTATCTGGAGAAGAACACCCTAAGAGAAAAGGGGTTAGGAAAGGTCCACCCTGGGTACCTGGGTGTCTTGGTGTTTCTCAGTCTATAGGAGTTCCGAGTTGAAGCCAGAATCTTAGGGATGCAGGGGTAGCTCAGCAATAGGGTGCTTCTCCAGCATGTGCAAGGCTCTGGGTTCACCAGAGCACTGTGGGAAAAAAGGGGGAAAAACCCTGTTTCTTATCAAAATCAATTGCTTTTGTTTGGACTCCTCAGAATTCAGTGACACGCAGTGCACCCATCAACAGTGACAGCCAGGGCAGGTGTGGCACACGCTTCCTCACCACCTACGACCGGCGTTTTGTCATCAAGACTGTGTCAAGTGAGGATGTGGCCGAGATGCACAACATCCTAAAGAAATACCACCAGGTATGGTGAGTCCCAGGCCCTGGCTGTGGAATACCACCAGGTATGGTGAGTCCTGGTCCCGGGCTGTGGAATACCACCAGGTATGGTGAGTCCCGGGCCTGGGCTGTGGAATACCACCAGGTATGGTGAGTCCCAGGCCCTGGCTGTGGAATACCACCAGGTATGGTGAGTCCCAGGCCCTGGCTGTGGAATACCACCAGGTATGGTGAGTCCCAGGCCCTGGCTGTGGAATACCACCAGGTATGGTGAGTCCCAGGCCCGGGCTGTGGAGGATGGGGTGGAGAGGGAAAGAGAGAGCTACAGAGGGGCTTGGAGGGGAGGCTAGGTCCAGTCTGGTAGTGACAGTTGTTCCTAGTATGTTAGTCCTTTTTCTCATTGCTACGGCAAGAAACATCGTAAAGTAACATCTCAGCAGGCAATGGTGTTTGCCACTGACCTGATATGTTAGTTCCTTTTCAAGCACTGTGGTAAATCACCATGATTGAGACACCTTTTAGAAGAATTTATTTGGGCTCAGAGTTCCAGAGAGTTAGCATTCACGATGGTGGAATAGAGGCAGCAGGCCTGGCAACTGGAACATCAGGCCGAAAGCTTACATCTTGAACTGTAAGCAGGAAGCCAAGAGAGTAAACTGGGAATAGTGTGTAGCTTTGAAACCTCAGAGCCCTGAAGCGACATACTTCCTCCAGCAAGGCCCCGCCCACTAAAGCTACCCAACCAATGCTAGCAACTGAGGACCAAGCGTCCAGACATCTGAGCCTCTTGAGGGCCATTCTCATCCAGACCACCACACCTGATGACTTGCATTCAATCCACACGGTTGAAGGAGAGAACTGGTTCCTGCAAGCCGTCCTCTGACTTCCACAAGCATGTAGTACCACGGAAAAGCAGCCAATCAAGTGTAATAAAAAATAAAAGGGAAGAAGGATCTGCTCTGGCTCATGGCTTTGCAGAGATGAGTCCCTCGGCCTCATGCGCTTGGCGAAAGTGTCACAGTGCTGGAAATGTGTGGCAAGGAGAGACAACAGGCTAGGAGCAGAGAAAGGACGCGTAGGAAGTGGCTAGGGCAGGACACAGCTCCCGAGGGCGTGTCCCAGATATTACTTCCTCTAGCTGCCCCTACCTCCCACCTTCCCCCCTTGCTAATAATGGCCTCATACCGTGGTTCATCAGTAGCTTAAATCATTGCTTAGGTCTGCCCTCATGTCCTCCTGGCTGTGGACTAGACCCCGTGTACCCAGGCTGTTGTACTAATCTCTTAGGTTAGCATTCATGATGATGGAGTAGAGACTTTTTAAAAAATTAATTTGTTTATGTGTATGGGTGTTTTGCCTACATATATGTCTATGCACCACTATATGTATATGAACCATATGTGTGCCTGGTGCCCAGAGAGGCCAGAAGCAAGTGTCAGAACCCCTGAAACTAGTTACAGGCAGTTGTGAGCTGCCACGTGGGTGCTGGCAATGGAATACAGGTTCTCTGGAAGAGAGCAAATGCTCTTAACCACTGAGCCATCTCTCTAGTTCTTTCCTAGATGCTTCCAGACCAGTTAAGAAGCCATCGGAGTTAACCGTTACACCTGGTGTAATGGTTACTGAGACGTGGTAAAGGGACCTTCTTTTGATCTTCAATGTTAGAGCAGAAGCCCTGGGCTTTAATCCAGGTATAGTCAGGGTTGTGGATTTGGAGTCATCCAGTCCTCCTGAAGTCTTCTAGAAGAACAGCCAGTGCTCTTAACCACTGATCTATCTCCCGAGCCGCTGTAGAGCCTGTGAGTGTCCAAGAGCATCTTGGCCTGGGAGAGTCCCAGTTGTTCCAGGTGCTCCCCTGCCCCTCAGCCCTCCTCCCTTCCTCTTTTCTAGTTCATAGTGGAGTGTCACGGGAATACCCTCTTGCCACAGTTCCTGGGCATGTACCGCCTGACCGTGGATGGTGTGGAAACGTACATGGTGGTCACCAGGAACGTATTCAGTCATCGGCTTACAGTACATCGAAAATACGACCTCAAGGTAAAGGGCTCCATGTTCCTCTGTGGGTCCACTACTGTCCCTGTGGCTGGGAGAGGCTGCTCCTCCGGCTGTGTGTATTGGGAGTGGGGAAGCACACCTTTAGTGGGCTGGGTAACTAGAGTTGACGTGCCTAATGATTGTAGACCGGCTATTTGAAGCCAAGGTGACGGTAATAAAGAGGTCAGTTAAGCCCTAGGTATAGCATATGTGACAGTTGATGCACTCCATTTCCTGTCTGTGGGTCGTGCACTCCAAGGGGCAATGCTGTCCGAATGCATACTTGCTGGCTTTTGTCCAGTGCCACGCAGTGACAGCACAGATGCATTTCTATACACCGAGAAGGATGTACTTAAGGCTATGAACTGGGATGCTGTTCTTGAACCAGGCTTCCTGATTTCTGTCACCTCGCTTCCTGTCCCCTCCCTCTGCTGCAGCCACACAGTCCGTCCTCTGTCCCTAGCCAGGATATCATACATACTGTCTGCACAGTCTCCCTCCCAGTGGCCCCACTCCTCTTTCCCTAACTAATCGCTTCCTACCTCCCTTCTAGAAGTAGGCCTGGCCACCACCGCACCCTACAGTCCAGGTCCAGCCTGTGCTTCATGCCTAGAGTGTCTCCTTCCGGTACCACGTAGCCCCGTGGTGACGAATGACTTGGCCACGGCTGTAAGGAAAGTTCCATGAGTGTGGGATCCAAGCTATCCAGGGCAACCTTGTTTACTGAGCATCTGCAGGGTCTTTTAGTCACCACTTCAGGAATGGCTGTGCCGGAGTGGCCATGGCTGCCTCCGGGCTCCTCTAAGATGCTAACCAGCCTGCATCCATGCACCCCTTAACTGTAGCCAGTGTACATTCTCTTGCTCAAAGGAGTTTGCCTCGGGAGCTAGGGCGATGGCTCAGCAGGTAAAGCACCCACTGTGAAATCCAAGTGTAGGCCGCAGCACACAAGAAGACAGCCAAGCATTGGTTGTTCACTTCTATTTCCAGTACTTGGGAAGAAAAACCATGAAGGTCACGTGGACTTGTTGGCCAGTCACATACACACACACACACACACACACACACATACATACACACACACACACACACACATACACACACACACACACAGAGAAAGGTGGGGGGTGAGATCCCAGCACTTGGGAGGTAGAGGCAGCCAGATCCCTGTGAGTTGGAGGCTAGCCTAGTCTACATAGTGAGTTCCAGGCCAGCCAGGGCTACATAGGGAAACTCTGTGTGTCAAAAAGCCATTAAAAAAAAAAAAAGACAGAGGAAGATACCTGCTCTCAGCCTCTGACCCCTATGCACATGTACACATATGTTACACACATGTGTATCTGCAAAAGGAAGTTCGCCTCAGTGTGACTTCTGGTGGCTCTTGTCCCTCCAGGGTTCCACTGTTGCCAGAGAAGCCAGTGACAAGGAAAAGGTATGTGAAAGGGTCACTTGCCCGGTGACACCTTCTGTTGGCCATCTATCATGTCCCCTCTATGACACCCGGAGCCCAGCTCCCAAACATGTAGTCTGTCACCATGAAAGGTTCTGTGTCATCAAGCACCTGCCTGCCCTTGGCACACTCATCCCTGACTTCTGCCTTTGCTGGGTTCTTTGTGGTTCTGCTGGGATGGAGAGGGTGTCTATGCTGTAGTCCAGTCTGAGCAGTCAGTAATTCCCTCTGCTCTGCCCAGGCTCAGCAGGAGGGGCTCCCCTGGTCTGTCCTCAGTTCTGATACACACCACGATTGCTGTCATTGCCTGCCTCTCACTTGTCTCTCTGCTTCTGTGCATCCATGTTAAAGACCTCTCTCCTCTCTGCACACTGCTCCCAGCCGACCAGCCGTTCTTTCTGGCTGAGTGAGTTAAGCTGCCTAACCTGACCCTGCTGTTGCTCTTCCAGGCTAAGGACTTGCCAACATTCAAAGATAATGACTTCCTCAACGAAGGGCAGAAGCTGCACGTGGGAGAAGAGAGTAAAAAGAACTTCCTGGAAAAACTGAAGCGGGACGTTGAGGTACCCTCTAACCTTTGTCTTCACCTTGTTTGCGGACCAGAAGCCTCTTTAACCTTGAGAGAACAGAACTCACTGTTCCCAGAAGTGTGGTGAAAGGCCGTGTCCGCGTGAGCCTCGGCTAACACCTGTACGGATGGGCATTCCTGGGGTCACACTGTCTTAGTTACTTTCCTGTGGCTATGACAAAGCACCATGATCAAGGCAACTGAGAAAAGAAAGCGTGTAATTGGGCTTCTGTTTCCAGAGGTTTAGAGTCCTGTGATGGCGGAGTAAAGGCATGGTGACAGGAACAGCTGAGAGTTCACATTTGCCTACAGGCGGGAGGCAGAGTGTAGGATGGGAATAGCCCAGTCTCCTGAAACCTCAAAGCCCACCTCAGCCACACACCTCCTCCAACAAAGCCACACCTCCTCCAACAAGGCCACGCCTCCTAACCCTTCGCAAACAGTTCCACCAGCTGGGAACCGAGTATGGGAATATATGAACCCATGGGGGCAGTTCATTCTCATTGAAACCTCCACAAGCATCATTTTACAGGTGGGGCATTTGTAACCCAGTGTGGACTGCTTTCTCCCTGTGTCTGTACTAGACCATTTCACACACAGAGCTCCCACAGTGGAAGGGCGTGGAGCATTAGCGACTGGAAACCAGCTGCTGAGGTCCTCCAACCAGCTGTTCCCTGGCTCTGACTCCCTGCCTCCCCAGGGAGGGTCAGGATTCTTCACTGCCCAACATGGCTTCTTTTGATCTTCAGCAAGGAGTGGTGGGCTGGGGCTGCCTTTTTGTTTTAGTGTGTGTGTGTGTGTGTGTGTGTGTGTGTGTGTGTTTGTGTGTGTTTGTGTGTGTGTGTACCCGAGTTTGTGCAGGTGTCTGTAGAAACCAGAGGAGGATATTTGAACTCCTGGTGCTGGAGTTACAGTAGTTGTGAGCTGCCTGATGTGGGTGCTGGGAACTGAACCCAGATCCTCTTGAAAGAGTATTCAGTGCTCCTAACCACTGAGCCATCTCTCCAGTTCAGTGTCGTGTATTAAATACTTTTTTTTTTTGTTTTGTTTTTGTTTTTCGAGACAGGGTTTCTCTGTATAGCCCTGGCTGTCCTGGAATTCACTCTGTAGTCCAGGCTGGCCTCGAACTCAGAAATCCACCTGCCTCTGCCTCCCAAGTGCTGGGATTAAAGGTGTGTGCCACTACTGCCTGGCTATTAAATACATTTTTAAAAATCTTTTTTGTTTTGAGACTCTCTCTCTCTCTCTCTCTCTCTCTCTCTCTCTCTTTCTCTCTCTCTTTTTCTCTCTTTTTGAGGGGGGTGTGGGGGAGTTGGGACAGGATTTCTTCGTATCCCTGGCTGTCCTACAACTCACTCTGTAGATCAGGCTGGCCTTGAACTCAGAAATCCGCCTGCCTCTGCCTCCCAAGTGCTGGGGTTAAACTTGTGCATGATCACACTCAGCTTTAAAAAAAAAAAAAAAGCCTTAAGCCCAGCCTGCTCTGTCGGCTTCGGACCCAGAAGCAGTTGGGAGTCGTGATTTGAGAGGAACGGCTATGTGGCGCCAGTCTCCTCTCCCATCTTTCACGGTGCGGTGCGGCACGCCTTGTGTCACTCCTCCCTCAGACAGCGGGCACTTTGATCTTTACCCTACAGCCCATGCCTGTCTGGCTCATCCTGTAGCCAGTGCCCTGCCTGTCCTCAGAGAGTCCTGTCACCTGCGGGCAGCAGACGTCGCTCTCATGGTGGAGACTACTCCCATTGCATCTGTCTTAAGATTTATGTATGATGTATACAGCTTTCTGCCTGCATGTATGCTTGAAGGCCAGAAGAGGGCATCAGATCTCATTACAGATGGCTGTGAGTCAGCATGTGGTTGCTGGGAATTGAACTCAGGACCTCTGGAAGAGCAGTCAGTGCTCTTAACCGCTGAGCCATCTCTCCAGCTCCTCCCATTGCATTTTTAAAGCCTGTATGGAGAGGAGTTGACAGGGTTGCCTTCCTTCTTTGCAGATGCCACGGGGACATCCCATATAAATGTTCACCTGTCTGTTCTCACCTTCCCAGTTCTTGGCCCAGCTGAAGATCATGGACTACAGTCTCCTGGTGGGCATCCATGACGTAGACCGGGCAGAGCAGGAAGAGATGGAGGTGGAAGAGCGAGCGGAGGAGGAGGAATGCGAGAATGACGGGGTGGGCGGCAGCCTGCTCTGCTCCTATGGCACGCCTCCAGACAGCCCTGGCAACCTCCTGAGCTTCCCCCGGTTCTTTGGCCCGGGAGAGTTCGACCCCTCCGTGGACGTCTATGCCATGAAAAGCCATGAAAGTAAGAGCCCTGCCCAGCCAGCCCCGAATGCTTCTGCTCACTGGTGGAATCTGGGGTGTCTGCGTCCCCACCTTCCTTCTACTGGTGACTTACCACCTCCAGCCTCAAGGCTTCTATTTACCACCTGAAGGACTACACCTAAGGCCACCCTGAGGACTGGAACCTGAGGTTCCTTCTCTCGGGTCCTGTGTCACTTCTCTGGCTGTCTTGGGTGACATGGCACAGCTCATGGGAAGGACAGACCTTTTCGATTTGCTGCTTTGGTCCTGCGGAGTGGGTGAACGTTGAAGGAGACAGGACTGTAAGGTGTTCTCTCCACCCCGACTCCGAAATGACAGAGAAATTCTGAACCTGGGACCCAGGAGGTATGAGCGTGTCCCAGACATGTTTTGTCTTTCTCCCTACAGGTGCCCCTAAGAAGGAGGTCTATTTCATGGCCATCATTGACATCCTTACACCATATGACGCTAAGAAGAAAGCTGCACATGCAGCCAAAACAGTGAAGCATGGGGTGAGTTCCCAGTCTCCTCAGGTCCAGCCCAGTGCAGTATGTCTGTACCCCAGCTCTGGGAATATACCCGTCCCCTTCTTCCCAGGAGAGTAGGAGAGCAACACACACACACACACACACACACACACACACACACACAACACACACACACACAACACACACATACCTGCCTTCCCTTCTGCCACCTGCTTTTCCACCTCTGCCCAGCCTGGCCAGGTAATAAACGCAACTTATTTTTCCCAGGAGTTGTCTGGCCTTTGGGCCCGAGCTGCCAGTCGCTTTCCCTGGGGGCTGGGGCGTGCTGTGCATCTTGTGGGATAGCCAAGAATAGCTTTGTTTACATGTGCACAGTGCTCCCCGCAGGCCAGGCTCTCCACACAGTGCCCCCCACAGAAGCCAGGGCCTTTGTGCCACCTCCGTGTTGCCTTTCTACTTCTTCAGTGGATGTATCACTCAGAGGAGATCCCCAGAGAGCTCTGATGTGACGTAGGTGGCCTGCCCAGCCTGGTGATCCTTGGTGCTGAATGACAGGCTCATTGCCTGATGACACACCAGTGCTTGGGAAACTGAGGCAAGAAGACTATATAAATTCAAGGGCAGCATGGGTCACACCCAAAACCGTTTTTTAAGACAGTGGTTCTCAACCCCTTTGGGGGTCAAAAGACTCTTTCACGGGGTTGTATATCTGTGTATCAGATAGTTACATTACGATTCATAACAGTAGCAAAATCACAGTTAGGAAGTAGCAACAAACGTAGGTCAGCACAACATGAGGAACTGTATTTAAAGGTTGCATCTTTTAGGAAGGTTGAGAACCCGTGGTATAATATTAAGTGGTTTTATTTGTTTGCTTGTTTGTTTTTATTTTTAAAAAACAAGTAAATAGAAAGGCTCCAGCAGATTCCATGCCTCTCAGCTGTCACCTCCTGCGCTTCTGGTTAGGCTTGAGCATCTGACCCCAGTCCATATTTTGTATGTTCCAGGCAGGGGCTGAGATCTCCACTGTGAACCCTGAGCAGTACTCGAAACGCTTCAATGAGTTCATGTCCAACATCCTGACGTAGTCGCCTCTACCTTCTGCCAGAGCCAGACTGCTGGACAAGGGGTCGGGGATCGGGAGAGGGAAAGGGTATATTTGGGCTGGAAGGGAGGGTGGGGAGCACAGTGGGGGGTCATGAGGGCTTTAGGAAAGGGACTGCAGCCTGTGACACAAAGCAGCTCTAGAAAGGAAGAAGGGGACGTGCTGTTTGCGTGCACACATGCTCACAGGATGCAGCCTCACTCCCCCCTAGCACCTTGGATACTCCCCTTCTGTCCCTGGTTAAAACAGGGTTTCCTCTTCAGCATCTCTGTAACCTTTTATGATACCTGGGGGCTGGAGTTGACTTTGTGGATTGATTTGGGTTTGTTTCTTAAATTCATTGCTCTAGGATCACTCTTTATAATGCTGTATGTCATCACCCTAGGGGACCCCCCCCCCTTCCTGTCAGGATCTCAGTTCCCTTCAGTTAAGGCCAGCACAAGAGCCGAGAACAGCAGTTGCTCTGACACCATGAGAAGTCAGACACCTCAGTCAGCCACGTTTTGATCTCACCTAGATGGACTCTTTATTTCCTGGAGTATTGTGCATAATTCCCTCCATGTTTCCACCTCGGATCCAAGTGAAACGTTACCTAGGCTCCTCCATCCCGTCCTCTCGGAAGAACATTGCAGGTTGACCCTGACGTCTTGGACCCGAGTCAGAGGCCTCAGAGGGGAACAGGTTTGTCTTCATGAGATGGTGAGTGACCAGAAAGCAGCTGGGCCCTCAGACAGCCGGTTCTCAAAGAACCCAGAGATCACCGCCCAAGCTACCTGCACCTCTGAGTGGAATTCTTATGTCCCTCAAGCCTGCCTCCCACTGGCTCAAGGGGAACTACAAAGCATCTTTGCATTTATTGGGACCCCTGTGTTTCGATGGCTGTTACCCTTTGGGAAAATCCCAGAAACTAATATATATTAACCGGGGTCGTGTGCACCATGCATATCTTAACTACTGACCTCTGGGTGCAGTCACCTGTAACTGGCATATGGTCGGTCGATGCAGAGCTCACTGCAGAGATGCCACTCCAAGCCCCGACCTACCATGCAGGTGTCTGGCTCCTGTGCCTGTGACTTCTCACCTGGACAGCTTTTAGCCAGCAAGGTGCTCCACCTGAGGTTGCCTGAGTCACCTGAGGAAGTGACCCAGGAAAGCCTATTTGGAGGCCTGACATGGGGCTTTGCCCATCCCCCAGCCTCAGGGCTGACTGATTTTCCTTGTTACCGGCACTCTTTCTGAACTTGGGATGTACCTGCGGTCCTCCTTGGAAAGAGTGACATCCTGCAGCCTCCTTCAGGATTCCAGCCCAGGGCCTCGGAAGGGAGCTACACAAGTCATTCTGATGCCACCAGAGCAAGTGGTTGCTAGGAAGAAAAATGGCCTTGTTGGCCTGCCCTTGGGAGAGGGACACTCCCTGCCTCTTCCCAACCCCCTCAGAAGGAATCAGGAATTTAGGATGAGATGGAAATTTTGTAGATAACCCCAAAGATGTGAAGCTGGTTTGTGGAACTGTCTTGGGTGAACAGATGATTTCCGACGCCTGCCTCCCAAACTGACCGAGCTCAGTTTGGGGAGCTGGAGCCGCTGTGCCGTGTTCTGTGTCCTCTCTACCCAGCACTGAACTAAGAAAGGAAGCAACATGTCAGTCAGTCTTGGGCTTCTCTTGGGCTGCCAATTGGGTGAGGCAGATGGGGGCCTACTCCTTCCCAGGAAGAGAACAGATAAGGTTCTGGGGAGCAGAACCACGCTCTTGGGAAGGACTGGGAACCACGTGGTTCATGGAGAAGTGATTTTAGTGTAGGAGAGGGGTTACGTAGGAATAATGTCGGGACTTGATTTCCCACCTCACAATCAAGAGTGAAAACATCTGGATCTTCCCCAGGCTTGGAAGCTGATTCTGTTGTGTTTGCAAAGCCTACAGTCCTAGCAGAGCAACTGCCAGCCGGCTAACTGCATTAATGGTGGGTTTTGTGGGCGTGGTTTCATTTCATTTTGTTGTATATTGTTTACAATTTTGAGAGGTAACTTTCTGTTTCAATCTCTTTGTTTTCCTGACAGTATTGTTGAGTAGGTCAAAATATTTGAGATGTGGTTTGATGGATTTTAGGTTGGTTTTTTTTTTTTTTTAAAGGTCATTCTCTGCTCCATCTTCAAAAACCTGGAGCTTGACTCTCTGATTCCTTTGGCATTCATATGTTTAAAAGCTATTTATCTTTGTTTCATACAAGTTTTCTTTCTCTTTGTGACAAAGATGTGCTTTTTGGCTTCAATCTCCAAGTGATTACACCCTCCCCCCATTTATCTTTTCCTGAGACCCACCAGTCACTCTCTGGGCAGCAGGTGTCAAGGGGAAGACAAGACACTTAACTTGACTCCTCAGGGCCATGAAGAACAGCCAGACTGTCTTATGGCACCCAGAATCATGTTGGGTCTTCCAGAAATAGACATTTAAGAATAGAGTCCCAGACAACTGGGTGAAGTCTCGATGCGGGGGTGGGGAGAGGGATTGCATTCCTGGTCCCTCACCCTGCCACCTACTATGTAGCAGCCAGTCCCCATCCCTCCTGTGGAAATTGTGGAGCTGAGAAAGTATGTCTCACATCCAGCTGACGCAAGGGGTACTATGAAAACTCCGACACCAAGCAATGGGCTCAGGCCGTGTTCCCAGTCTAAGGCCGTCCCCGTCGGGGCCTTGCAGGGCAGCGCTAGGAGTACATTTCAGTTTCGCTGCAGTGCTAAATCTCTCCTCATCTAGCTCAGGGGTTTACTGGTCTGTGGCTGGCGCCATGAGTGGCTCCCAGGCTGTTCTCAGTGGCACTATAGCCCCTTCCCCCCCCAAACAGGCAGCTCTTCCTCCCCCTTTCCCCCTTCTCCCAGTCACTTTTCTCAGTCCTGGGCTTTAGGCCTGACAGGTCCCCTAGCAGTGCTCAGTTGAGGAGAGCTGGACTCCTGTCAAGACCTTCCCTCCTCACAGTGTGCCAGGCCTCTCTGGGGACGTGGGCCAAAGACCCAGGACTGTGTCAGTAGCCAGTCCCCACCCCTCACCCCCACCCCCCCAGTTGTCTTTTTAACAATTCAGGTTGAGAGGGAAAAACCATTAGCTGTTTCTAGTGCTTGACCTATTCGAGTGTTTTGGGCAGAAAGGACAGTGTACTGAGACAGCCCTCAGAGCTCTGGCCTTGAGATTTTCCAAGTTTAGAGATCTCATCAGCAGTAATGGCTGGTGGGGTAGGGGGATCTCAGAGGGAAACACATTTAGACAGCTACCCAAAATCTGCCAGCCGTGGTCCCAGTGCTCTGAAACGTGCCACCTAGGAAGAGTGTCGCCAAGGGGAAATGAGACTCAGCTGTCCTTCAGGTTGAGTCACCAGGAAGGAGGCTGAGGAGACACCAGAAGAGCCCACCCCTTGCCCATAGCCACGTTGTGAGGTGGGAACCCATACGTTTAGGGGGACCATCTGCTTAGCACATCTCAGCAGCGGGTCCGAGCATTGCACACACAAAATGTGAATGAAATCTAGAGTCATCTTTGGGACCGCAGGATTAAAGTACTACCCACCACATGTGACTTGTCCATTTCTGGCTGCAAGTTCCATTTTTTTAAAATAGGAATTTTCACCCCTGTGCTTGTCTAATGTCTGCTCTGAACAGTTCGAGCCTCTGTTACTGTTTTAAAATGCATGCGTGTTAAAAAAGAATCTCCAAATGGAGGACAAAATAAAACTCAAAAAGCTTTGTTGTACATCTGGTATGTGAGTCCTTTGAGATGCAGCCCACCCTCCTTCAGAATTAGAACATCTTTGTCCCAGTTTTAGAGGCAAAGTCAGTGTATGGTTTGGAGAGGCAGTGTGGCAACAGCCCGCTCTGAGATGCAATTGATGAGCAATACTAAGCTCACAGCACTGGGCAGCCTGCCCATTAGATAATATTACCAGGTACCGCTGCCCCTCCCTTCAGCTGTGGATAGACAGTGGCTAGGAGCCATGTATCCCAGCTGCCTGTGTGTCTTCGAGTGCAGCGTGCATCCCTGTGAGCCTTTAGCTTCCCATTTGTTATATACTTGTACCTTAAAGTCCAGTACTTGGGCTGGAGGGTGTGTCTCAGTGTACAGCACTTACCTAGCATGGGCAGGCTCCTGGGCTCGATTTCCAGGACACACACACACACACACACACACACACACACAGAGGCAGGGGTGGGGTAGGGACGATAAGAGCTGCTCTTCCAGAGCTCCTGAGTTCAATTCCCAGCAACCACATGGTGGCTCACAACCATCTGTACTGGGATCTGATGCCCTCTTCTGGCACGCAGGTGTACATGCAGATTAAAGAGTACTCATACATAAACCTTTAAAATAAATTTTTTTTTTAGTAGCTCTCAGTGTGGACCTGAACCAGCTGTGTCAGTGGCAGCTGAGATTCAGAAACAAAACTTAGCTCATTTCAGACCTTCTGATTCATAAAGTTTTTTTGTTTTGTTTTGTTTTTTTTTTAAAAGACAAACCCCACCAGGGTTGTATGGATCTAAAATCCCAGTTTGCAGAGAATAGGTAAAAAGGTCCCTGGAGCTCAGAAGGCCTGGGCTGTGGTTAGATAAAATCCTGCTTTACACTGGAAAGCCTTGGGTTTGATTCTCCCAGCACCACAGAAAACTATTTTAAATAGGAATGAGTTTGAGCCCTGAGATCATTCAGAGGCTACCCCGGTACCATGCAAACATCGTATACTGGAGCCTGAATCTCCTGTAGGTTACGAGCGTGCCAGACAGTGCTCTAGGTGGTCAGTGAAATCATCTTAGAGGAGACCACGCCCACCCCTCCTTGCCAAAGTGATGAACTGAAGATAAAGTTAAACACTGACCTACCACTCATGGGTCCTTGACCAAATCCACTGAAGCACTGGAAGCATGGTGGAAGACTGCCAACCGAGCTGAATGAGCGGGACCCAGGGTTGGGGACAAATGGAACATGGGCTTATATCCTCGCCCCACCCTGTAGCAATCAGATTTAGACGTGTGTATGTGTGTGTGTGTGTGTGTGTGCACACACGCGCGCACATGCGTGCATGCAGTGAACTGCCTTGGCTCACAATGACTGAGTTCTATAATATGTAAGGCACGCTCTGTACAGCCCAGCACAGCGCAGGCATCCACTGGTGACTAGGAGGGGCCCCAGGTGTGCCAATGATGCAAGGGCAAATCCAAAAGGAAACAGGGTTGGGGTGTAACTCAGTAGCAGAATATATGCTTAGTATGTCTGAGGGCCCAAGTTCAATTCCCTGCACCAAAAAAGGGAAACCGAAGACGATTAAGATAAAGTCACTCTGTACCGGACTCTCCTTGATGGGGACAAAGCTGTAGAAACAAAGGCAGGCAGGCATGAAAGAAAGGCAATTTTATTAAAAAGAAAAACAACAAAAGGGAGATGGGACCAGAGCACAGGTTAGTCCATCTAGAGCACAGGTTAGTCCATCCGGGCCTTCAGCGTTCTGGTAGTGATCTTGTCTTTCTCACTGTCAAGAGAGAAATCACAGTCATGTGTACTGTCCCTCCTGCCTGTGTCTCCTCTGACCCTCAGCTGTAAGACCGGGAAAGGCTGCCTGGCGACCTAGCTGTCTGCTGCTCACAGACTCATGAGGGCAGGATAGGCAAGGCAGTGAGCTTTGCTGAAGATGGTTAGGGTAAACTGAGCTACGCTCCAAGGAGTGGAGACCCCCAGGCCTACAGAGCAAGGGCTTCCACAGTGCCCGGTCTCCCTGCAGAGGATGCGAAAACCTTGGGTGGCTTGATTCTGCTTCTCATGGTCAGTAAGCAGCAGCATGAGAAAAGGAGAAGACACTGTTCCAATCTGTTAGGGTCCTGGTGACAGCCTCAAACAGGGAGCGTGTACTATGCACCTCAGGTCTGGCTAGAGCCTGATGTGAGCCCCACACAGTTCTGGGCTGCAGACTAGAGGGTGTAGGGAGGATGGGGAGCCCCAAGCCACTGGGTCTGCAGGAAGTTGCTGTCCATGATCACCCCTGAACTTTGGGGACACTGTTAGGGAAGGAAAGAATGTCCACAGTGAGGAGACTTGGTCAGAGTGTCACCTGAGGCCTGGAGAGTCTGGGCCACACCCAGCTGCCTACCTTAGCATTAACTGCTGTTGTAGGCCTACTGTCTGCTCACTCCTGCCTTCTGCCCCTCTCTTCCTCAAACTAATCTTGAATTCAAAACCTTCTGCCTGAGCCTCCCCAGTGCTCGGGCAAATGTCCTGCCACCTGGCTGCAGTCACCAGGCTCTGCTTCCTGTGGCACCTCTCTGACCTCACACCTGTGGGGCCCTCGGTGCGCTGCGGAGGACGGGAGACACGGTCTGTGAAGTATTTACCGAGTCCCCCAACCTATACTCACATGATGTGGACAACAATGCCCATGCCTGAGACGGCATCCCGGTCCACAGCGTTCAGCATGGCCTGGGAAATGGTTTCAAACAGGTGCTCTGGATCCTGCCACAGAGTAAAGTGTTCAGACCAGGGACATGTTCTGAAGCCTCAACCCTTATTTTCTGGACTCTAGCTGCCCTGCTCTAGACCCTGCTGCGCCTGGAGTGAGGGATGGTTCCTTTGATATAGGAACCTCTCAGCTCCTTCCCTGGGAAGAAACAGGATGAAGAAAACACTTCAAACTTGAAACTGTGACATTGGGTAAGTGTCATAATCATATACTGTGTCAGGGCCTCCACCCCCTCTGTAAAGTGAAGAGCATCTATCTCCACTAGGTTCTGGCTACTTCTCAGCAGCCCAAGACCATCCCACAGGTACCTCAAAGCCCAGCCCACCCAGTCTTACAAGCCCACCCCTCAAACCTGCCCCTTCTCCTGAATTCTCCACCCTGACTTCCCACCTTGACTCTGCCTGTCCCCCTGTCCCCAATCAGAACCAGCTCACCACACCAGCTGCAGCTGGGGTCTCCCAGGTTTCTTCCACTGAAGGAAAGCATTTAAACATGGCGTGGTTTTCAAGCTTCCCCGTCTGCTTCTCCAGCCTCATCTTACCACACGCATTCTCCCACCTCAGCACTCTCAACAGACTGGACATTTCTGGCCCCACCCTACCCCAGTACAGGCTGTCCTGCCTGCTTGAGGCCAGGCTTTTCCTTTTCCTCCCCTACACAGGCGTTCGAATGTCTGCCTTGTTGATGGCAGTTAAGGCCGTGAAGTCACTTTGTACCCGGCTTCCCGTGAGCCTGAAGAGTGCCTCCCCATGAAGTGCAGCTGTAATGGTCTCACATACTTTCCTCAGTGCCCTGTTTGAGCAATGTGCCCATTCACAGCTGAGGTAAATGGAGCAAGGTTGACTCACTTATGCAAGAATGGGTTTCTACTCAGCACTCGGGAGGCAGAGGCAGGCAGATCTGAGTTCGAGGCTCAGCCTGATCTAGAGGAAAGCCAGGGTTATATAGAGAAACCATGTCTTGAAAATCACCAACAAGAACAAAAAAGCCTGGCAGTGGTGTGTATACACTTTTAGTCCTAGCACTTGAGAGGCAGAGACAGGTGGATTTCTGAGTTCGAGGCCAGCCTGGTCTACAGAGTGAGTTCCAGGACAGCCAGGGCTATACAGAGAAATCCTGTCTGGGGTGGGGGGTGGGGGGGAAGGGGGGGAATGTTTCTAGTTCAGACCACCAAGCTCCAGGCTCCTGTCATGGGGGAGGAACCTGGAAATCCAGTAGGATGCTGTAGTAAACACGTGACCAGGGTGGGTAAGAAGGCTGTTCTCGCTGCCAGCCTGCCCAGCTGGAACCCTCTAATGGAGCAGTAGCCGTGGCCTGCTTGCTTGCCACACCTTCCTCTCCACCTCCTGCTGCACAAACACCTTTGTCTCTATGGCGTGGGTACAGAGGCCAGCCTTGCTGTTGATAACTTACCATGTTGGGCTCCCAGAGAGACTCACACATCCCGTACATCTGTTCGGAGCAGGTACCACTGACTACAAAGTCGTCCGTCACCATGGGACAGCCAATGAGGTCCAGAGAGCAAATGAAGGGCTTAAAGGTCTTCGGGTCCAGGCCAGCAATGACAGGCTCTGTGTAGTAGGGACCAAACCTGTGGCAGGATGAGAGAGTTCAGAGTTGAAGAGCATTGGCTTCCACACATATGCCCACTCAAGCAGGGGGCTGACGTGGGAGGGGCAGGGAGATGTCCTTGCCTTGTGGCCAGCTTTGTGTAGCCCCTTCCCTGTCTTCTGGCATCTAGCAATATGTGTTCACCCTCCCCTCTGACCTTTCCTCCTCCTCCTGGAACTCCCTTCCTTCCTAGTTTCTGAGAATTCTGCCTTCTCAACCTCCTTACTGATCCAAAGTCCTACCAGGACTGCACTCAATCTACACCTTTACATTTCTACTTCTTTAGAAAAAGGATTTGAGACCGGGTTAGGGTATGGCTCAGTGGCAGAGCACATGCCTAGTGTGCACGGAGACCTGAGCTCCACTATTGCAAAAACAATTTCAAAAAATTAAAAATCGGCTGGATATGGTGGTACACATTTGTAGTTCTGAGATTCAAGAAGCAGGGGGATCACGCTGGACACCAAGCTGGACTACAAACAAAACTCAGAGATCTTGATGTCTAAGTCCAAGTTGGGTGTGGGGAGGCAGGAGCATCTGAGTTTGAGGTTAGCCTGGCCTATATAGTAATTTCTAGTTCAGCCAGGACTACACAGAGAGACCCTGTCTCAAAGCAGACCAAATAAATAAATAAATAAATAAATAAATAAAAATTCAACACCAAATGGTCAGTCTCTCAGCCAAACTATCCACGAGTCTCCTTGGCCTGTAGCACTTTTTATAACTTGAGTGTGTGTGTATGTAGGTGTGTATATATGCTATGTAGGTCAGTTTGTGTGCTTATGTGCATGTGCGTAGCTCTGAGGACAGCTTGCATAAACTGGCTCTCCTTCCACCATGTGGTTCCAGGGGGTTACACACAGCTAGCAGTATTACTCAGGGCATGGTCTTCAGTAATAACACTATAAAAATTATTTATGACTGACTATGGACCTCAATGGTACAGCATTTGTCTAGAAGGTATGATGCCCTAAGTTTAACTAACTCACCACAAAATAAATAATTAAAGGGAAAAAAGGTTGTAGAAGGGAGTCTGATGGAGGCTAAGGCACACTTGCCCAGTCTGTTGGAGGCCTAGGCTCACCCATGCTCCAGGAGGAGTCAGAGCCACAGGAGTGTGACAGGGAGGAAGAGATGAGGCTGATGCCCAGGTCACACAGGATACTCTGATGCAAAGTTTTTTTTTTTTTTTCTTTTTTTTTCCGAGACAGGGTTTCTCTGTGTAGCCCTGGCTGTCCTG